TCATTAAATTACGTTCACTTTATTTTAAAAAATAATAGTTATACAGAGAAATATAATATAAAAATAAATTTTGAAAAATGTGATTCACTCTTAAAAAATGTACGAAAATACAAATATTATCTCATAATGAAAATTGATATTTATATATATCGAGAGATTATAATTTTAATTTTCTTTAAATAAAATTTGCATTATCTTAATCCTTTAAAGAAAATCAACATATTTTCCAAATATTACACATGCAAATATATATATATACATTTTTTATGTGTGTTAAAGTATATTTGCTGTATAAAATAAATATGAAAAAATCGATTGAAAAATGAATATACCGGATACGGGAATAATATGACGGCATCTGCAAATAAAGAGACATGAACCGTCTCGTTTATCTAATTTCGAAAGCAATTTATTTTGAATACGATCTGACTTTATTTTAAGAATCCAGAAGCTAAAACAAGAGGCTGACAAATACTAAAATCACAATATAACCCGGTGACACGTGTACAAATAACGCATATCGCGTCCGCGCACACGTCGCGACAACGATCGTTATTTATTCCGGCGAGTTAATTTCGATCAATCGCGGTTGCACGGTAGACAACCGATTCTCGCCGAGGATAACAGACCTGTTAGCCTCGTGTGTTAAGAGTGGTGGAGAGAAAGAAGAGGAGAAGGGGTGAGGAACGAGGGGGGTGGAAGATGATCAGGGAGAGACAAGAAGAGAACGAGGTAGGCACGATCCATTAGTAGGCACGTCAATTCACCTCTTAAGAAGCGACTTAAAGCCGCTTCCACCTATCTCTCCTTCTCCATTTTTCTATCTTTTTTATCTCTTTCTTCCACGTTCTTTTTCATACTTATTAGTGGCGGCTGGCGCTCTCATCTTTACCTTCTTACTCTTTTCGCGCGCGCGCGCTCACGGTATCATAATTAATGATAATTCGATTAGCGGGACAAGATTGGGTCCTGGCTAAGCAGCCTCCGTCTCTTTCTTGGTACATTTCTCTCGCGGTTGGTCCTTCCACCCTCGCTCCATAGTTTTCACCGAAAACGATCAGCGTAAATCCTCGGGAATAAACGCCGACGATTAATCCTCTGTCGAACATATTAGACTTGACAGGCTTATTCGGGTTTGTTATAGTTCGGATCAGATAAGGACTTTATACATTCACTTCTTCAAATTGATGTGATTTTCTTTTATCGTGTTCACCATCAACAGGATTATATGTTGTTTTGGTTTAGGAATATTTCATAAAAATTATTTAAATAAAAAAAAAAAAAATATATATATATATATATACACTATATATATGTATATAAAATAAAACGATAAGTCTTTTGTACACCGACGTTGCACGATAATTCAGTCTCATTATTTTTTAAAGCATTAAGAATTAATCAAGACTTGCGTGCAAGCTGCTTTTACCGAATGGTAGATAATTTTATATATCGACCAAATAATATTAAATTATGTTACGTGTATATAATTTAAATATAATTTAATGTGCATTTGATTTAATTAGCATTAGCAAAAATTAATTTCATATAGATATTTCACTGAATTTCTAATGAAAATGATAATTACGCTCTCTATACAGATTATTATATTATAACAACTATTATTACGCGAGAGAGACAATATACGCACGAATAAATATGCATGATATTAAAACTTACGATACGAGCATCGCGAGAATGTCGATCTGTCGACCACGTTCGTTCTTTGTTGCGGAAATTTAAAAAAATAAAATGTGCGCTTTGACAATGTTAATTTATATCGCTTAGAAATATTATACCGAATATATAACAGTTTGCCTATTTTTTTCCCGCTCATCGTATTCACCAATAATGGCAGCGCCGGCACAAAATTGTTTTGTCGATTCCGACCCTTCCGCCGAAAGTGTTGCGTCGATAACTCGCGCTCTCTCGCCCCGCGCGCATTTTCAGAATGACACGAACGACAGTTCGCGGGCAGCGTAGGCGAGCCGCGTAGAGAGACGAGAGTGTCTCGAAACAGGAATTATCGGATATACATATATGCGCGTACGTGCGCATATATGTAATTCGGGCCGGGATCGGTTTCGATCGCTCGATTCGGCTTCGACGGCAAATTAGCGCGCGTCCGTCTCTAATATACGAAGCGAACGAGATTCCGTCGCGAGATACCAACGATTTTCCAATTATACGCTAACGTTTGCGAGACGCAGGCCAAACGCCCTCGTGAAACACGCGGAACTATACACGTGCGGCAGGTGTGCGATCCGCGCGGGAAACTGACGTCAACACGTCCTATATCCTTGCAATGATCGGACCTTAGACAATAATATTTTATCCGAGATCTCTCGACGCGTTTTACTTTAATCAGGCGCGAAGCTAATGGAATATAAAATTAGTATTTCGCAATATTATATTCCAAAATATGCGTGTCGTTCATAGCGTTGATAATGATATCGATTCTGTTTCACCCTGCGTATCTATTCGTATCGTACCGTCTAGAATTTTTATCAAAACGTTTCGTCGAAGTGTAAAACAGATATAATTATGCTGTTCTAGTTTAGAGAATTAAATGTGTTTGTGCCATCAAGTCCCAATCTTTAACTGAATTAAAGACGTTAAAAATGAATTCAAGATACGCATTTGTTCTCTTTTCTCTTTCGCATTCTCTGCATTTTAATATTGAATTAAATAATAATGAAAGAATTTAGTAAATTTCTCTATATTTTTATAGAGATTGCATTTAAATATATTAAACATTGATGATTAATATATCATATATATGTGGCCAATTGGCTTCGAAAATGTTTAGTTTATCAATCATTTAATTATTGATATATGAATCATGGATATGTAGAGAATTATTGATTCGAATTATTTCAGAGTAATGGAAATAAAATAACGATTGTGTTTTTATATTAAGATAAATTCCTATCAGCGAAAAATAGCATGAATTAAATAATAGAACACATAAATGACTTACGAAAGTGAAAAAGTAGCATGCAATGAAATTGATCTCATCAGTATATGGTAGAAAATCACGCAACAAACATGCGATTATTATCTAAAATAGCACATATTTGTATTATTAATGCGTTATTTCACTGAACCACAATATTTTATAATCGTGAAATATACATATATCTGCTATACTATAATTAATTTTTATAAAATAATTGATATTTTTATATTACTATATTTACTAAAAATTCAAATACAATAAAAATATCTGGAGTTACAAAAACAAAAATTATTTTGTAATAAAATCTTATTTCCATGAATGTATGAATTATCGTATAAACGTATCGAAGCTTAGATATATGTAAATGAAACAATGCATTAATAATTTTACAATTGTAAAATAAATAACACACATAAGGTAGTAATATTAAACTGACTACACTGGCTGTCTATTAGATTTGTTAAACTATATTTTTGACGTTCGACCATACGGGCTGTGGTCCTTTTAAAATAAATAATTCTAGCACATTTTTAACTATACGTTTACATTAATTTACGATGAATTAATAATAGCGCTCTCTATTAATTTTATTATTAAATAATTATCGCATTATATGTGATATTAATTAATGAGCGCACCAGTTATTTTTTCGACTTCTTGTTGTTCTTGTCGCGTTCGCACTTTTCGATTGTTTTTCCTAAATCTTGTCCTCTGAATTGAGGCGGTCGCACAACTGCAGCGATAATTAATTGAAACTCGATCAAATTGCATTACTGCCCGTAACGTGACTGCCAGACAGGATGGCAAAGCTAATTCGCGGCGCTGATCGTGCCTGTCCGGCAGGAGGACAAGATTCAATGGATGGACAGTGAAATGGTTTAGTCTACTAATCGAATTAACCCGTAAATGTGAAAAAATAATCGATCTTCGTGGAAAAACTACACGCGGCCGTCGGTCCCGAATTTTATTCTCCCGTCAGGGCTATTAGTATGCTATTGATTTTTTTGTTTTGGGGCAATGATACCACGAGAGTTTCCATCTAAATGCATTTAAATGTGAGTTATCTTGTTCATTCTCTTAAGTGTGCACAAAATCGAACAATTTAAAATCGAAATTTTGTATAATTGGGAAAGATAAAAAATTAAAAAGTGTAGTAAATGAGTGATAAATGAATTATAAAATATATAATAATTCACTAATTAACAACGCAACGCGATACGGAAGGAGTGCATGATTAATGACGCGATAGTGACTAATGAATCGCAGATAGATTTGAAAGAAAATAATTGGATAGGATGGATGATTAAAATTGTATCATTATTTCGAAAGGTAGCATGAATTATTTTATAGTTTGAAAATTAATATACTTTGTGCATGTTATTTTGGAATAGAGGACATTTTGCATTAGGACGTTATTTCTACGTCGATCAATCCGACGGAACGAGAAAACGTTAAGATCTTTGCACATTCGTGTCGCGTTTGTTCGTTCGAATTGTAATAATTAAATGTAGAGGTAAACTTAAGAAACAAACACGCTGATTTAACAGTAAGAATTCTTGACCGTTCACTGAACTCAAAGATGACTGACTAGCGAGGATAAGCAGCGATATACAGCGATAACAGCGTGACCAACCATATCTAAACTATGTTGTAAACTCTGAAGTACATTTTTCCTCATTAGAAAACTAAGTGATTCGAATATTGAAATACATATACGCGTGTACGCGATAATATTCCATCTCAAATTTTGAGATAAATTTCAAGAACTCTCTCTTTCAAAGTCAATATTTTATATTTTAGTAGGTATAGTGAGATAAATTTTTAACGTAATTTTAATATGGTAATTTTAGCAGAATATACATATACTAGAAAAAAATTATTATTTTTATATTAAATAACATAGGAAATAAATAAATTTCGTAATTTTGCAGAGTTTCATTATAGTAAGATAGTAAAATATTGTATCTAAAGGAGAATATAAAAATAATGTTGCATGTTATATGTAAACATTAGTAATATAGTAATAGTGAAAGTGTGGTACCAGTATTTTCTTGCGTGTCGCGATTTGTGTCCTCCATCTCTTGATGAGTTCTTTTATGACTAGCCAATCCCAGGATCGCATCGATGCTGTGTCTCGGGGTGCTGCTGGCCGGTTTCGGTAAGACGATGTCCTGACTGTTCTGAGAAGCTGTGTCAACTAGCTGCTGAGAATCCATCGTCGGGAACTCGTACACGGGACTCCTCGCAGAGATTGCTTCGGTGCTGGATCACCCTCTTGTCTGTTAAATATTTTGTAGGTTCGCTACAGTTGAATAATCGCGCGAAACTTTTTAGCACACGTGTTCTTCACACTAAAGTACATCTCGAATAACATCGCGCACCGCTTGCTCGAGAGACTAGGGAAACCAATCAGTTCCAATAATGTTTATAAAACTGAGAGAAAACCCAGATTCAAAAAAACGTGCATGTGGGTCTAAAATCTTGGTTTCTCCACGATTGTCTTCGAATATTAAGATTACGTCAATCGGTTAACGAGATCATGTCCGCGGAATTAAATTGGATCTTCGACGTATTCACCCTGATGTGTTTGTCCATACGATACACGGAGATTCAAAACTTCATAATGAATCCTCGTCGTCACTTATCACCTCTTCACAAATCATGGCACTCTCATTAACATTTTCCGTCGACGAAACTGACTTGTCTCTTCTAACATCAGTCAATGGTAAGAGATGGATGTTCGTTGACCGAAATTTTCCCAAACGTTCATCGCCAGTCCTTAAGCCTTAATCTCCAACAGTGATACGTTTCTTCGCTACTGTTTACCGACTTGAAATCATCGAAAATCTGAAGGGTTTTTAACGGGATCCTCTTGAATGTTTGTACGTTCACTGAGATCGCCTACTTAGATCAGAGAAAAAAAGTGACAGGGTTCTCCCTGCCAATGTATCCCCCAATCTCTCGACGTCCGACCTCGTCCTCGTTCATTCACTTTCGCAGGCGTCAGATGGAATCTTCCCCGTCCGAAGCTCTTGAGCGTGCGTCGTGTCAACGAGGACTAGCCGGCCGTCGTCTCTCGGGGTGGCCTTTGTTGCAGCTGTACACAACTACTCCCGGAGAGACTACTCGCCGACGAAAGAGGTGGTCCGGGCAGCAGCCTCGCGAGGCGTGGCTCGATTCGACGAATCGGCGGGGTTGTTCGTCGAATCCGTGGCCAATCGCGACTAGGATACGGGAACATGGCGAGATCAGTGGTGCTCAAACTAGGGGTTTTCGCGGGAGCCCTCTCTCTTAGATGGGGTAGCCGCAGGGTTGAGGAGGGCGGACGGACTTCCATGACGCGTCTCGACCCCACCAGGGTAGCGCGCATGTATGTGTATGCGTCCTTGCGAATGTACTCGCGCGCACACGCGCACCACGAAGGGGTGGTTCACCTAAACAGAGGCGGATGGTACACACACGCGGCCGGAGTGGGTTGATTCTTGCGGCGGATTCTGGCATCCCCTGTAATTGCCAGAAATGAGGTAAAGCTTACCGCTTATACGCCGAGCCTCCTACGCTTCTGGATGCCCCGCAGATTCGCGGGGACCTTACGCCCTGCTTTTGTCCGCGATGCACTCTATGCACCCTCGAAAGTTTATGACGGCGTGATTCGTTTTCATTAAGGGGAAGAGATTAAAAATCGTTGACGTAACTACTGCCGACTAAGTTGACGACTTTAACTTTAACGTGTTGCAAGGATGGAAAATTCAATATTGCGTTTTTATGTTGAGTTTATCCCGTTAAGTTTCTTTTTTTTTTTTTTTTTTTTTTTAAGGAAGACCGAAGAATTTATATATATATATCGCATTCGCGCCAAGTGACCTTTTCGATAGCGTGTGGTATTCATTTCGCGGCTATTTTACCACGTTCGACAAACAAAAATATTATTCTTGCATGAACGTCATTGGGAAATTTCGCGCGATACAATGAAGTAAAGCCTCGTTTATATTTTATTGGCTGTAGTCGAAACGTTGGTGTATTTACGTAATGTCAATTTGATGATCACACACGTATATTGTAACATTTTGCGCGTGTACAATCTCGGCATCTCTCGCGCAAACGTCACAAATTGAAATAAATTGTCTCATTCTACAAGTTTAAAAACAAATATCATGTTCGCAAATAAATTCGCAATGACCATCCACCCCGGACCAACGATATATATATATGTATATATATATATTCTTTGTCAACTTTACGATTTGATTTTGTCACTTATACTGTAAGCTATCAAAAATCTTAAATCAATCCTGCGTTGCAATATTATTGTACAAAATCGCTCGTACGATCGGACGGGGATTCACTTCCGTGAAAATAGTGTTTGGAGAGAGTTTTCTTTTTTTTTACCGTTATTTCCTTCCGCAAATCCCCTTCTCCCTCCTACGAATTAGCTTCGCGACAAAGAGACGAGAAGTGGACGTTTTCCGGTTACCAGAATGGCGGATCCGGGGTTGGAAATTGTTTCTTTTTTTTTTCGTCGGCGCGCCGGCCGAAAACCGTGCGCACAAAACGAATCCCCGTTTCCCATTCCGCGTTCGATTCCGCGTATCGTCGTTACCATTTGGCGTTTTAGCCCGGGGGGAAGTGTACGCCCACAAAACCGCGCCACAAAAGATATCCGCCTGTAGCGAAACAGTAGCTACTCAAAATCGATCCGACTAAATCGAGGCAAATTATACGTTTGCGGACGAGAGAACTCGCGTTCCTCCTTCCGTTATAGAAAAAGACCCCCGCATCGCGTCGAAAATTCGCCACCGTTATAATCCGATATTGTGCGATACGCGTCGCGCCTCGCGAGAAAAAAGAATCATCGCACTCTTGGCAACGAAAATCAGTCGCAATAGGATTGATATTGCTTTTATTCGTTAGGCATGCATTTAAAGTGGCTTTTTAAAATTTCAGTTGGAAAAAATAAACATTTTAATTATCTTGTCTCTCTCTCTCTTATAGCATCTGTCTTTCTATAAACAAAATATTTTCTTCTTTATACAGTAAAAAAAAAAAAAATAAATAAATTTCTAAACATTAATAATTCTATGCATTTATATAAATGAGATAAAAGTTTTTTGTCTTAAGGGGTAAAATTCCCTCGCTTTGTTCTCATTATTTAGCTGTCATAGTTTCGAGAGAAACGAAGTATTTCAATAAATGTTCTTTAAAAATCAATAAAATAGACAGGAAGGCCGCCATTGCGGGAGATAATAAAATTGAGATGAATTTAATTGCAACAATAGCACATCCATTCACCTCGCGTTTCAAAGATCATTCGCAAGCGATATTCCCACGTGCTTTTTCGAGCGTGCATTGTACTCGTACACGCGCGCGAAACAATTTCGCCATTTTTCATCGGCGCTCAATCTCCGTTACGAATCGCGGTGGGGCGAGGAAAGCTTTTAGGTCCCGCAGAAATCAGATCACGAGTTGCATTTAACCGGATCCCACTTACCGCGATAAATATCTAACGGTGGAGGGATCGGCCCGAGTTTTGGATCGGCGCGTCCCGGCTCCGCTTTCCCGGGGCACTTAGCTCCAGTTTTAGCTAATTTCTCAGACAGCGATCTTTTAGCGAGCTCTTAAGAGGGCCCGAAGTAAAGCCAGGTAGCTGCGCGCCGTCCGTTAAACGTTTCGACTTAAATCGAGGGATGACTGACGGCTGACTAACGATTTTTTTAGAAGACAAACGGGAGCTGCGAGAAAGAAAGAGAGATTCAAATGACTATCATTTATTGAAAAGCAAGATGTTCGTAAGATTGATATGGATATGAGACAGAAAAATCAAATCACTATTTAATTAAATAATTAAATTAACATATTTAAAATTTCCAAAGTTATACGAGGATGATGATATATTCACAATAATTTGATAAGATCGAACATTTTTCAATTTTTATTTATTTTTCTATGCCTTCCAAATTTGATCTAAAGCAAATTTAAGCTTGCAAGAATCATAATAAGCTGTAATCAAAATTATATATAAATATGTTAATGAAAAATACATAATTTTCTTTCGAAAGTTTAATTGTCGAGAAACGAATAAATGAAAATACGAGATTAATATCTCTTGCAATACTTTTGATATAAATATATCGAAAATCTATTCGCGTGGAAATGAATAAACGTTCTGTTTTTCATAATTGCGTAAACTACTCAAATCTTTGAAATGTAAATATATAGCTGTCAAAAATATATATATAATTATACCCGATATTTTGAGATCATTGTAACGATAATATCTATATGAAATATACTACATTCCTTATAGAATAAAAGGAATTCGATACCACCTCAAAGCGACGTTTCAAACTATATAAACTCGCTATTCTCCTCCTATCATCCACGGTCCATCGAAAGTGGATCGGGCCGAAATTATCGTAAATTCGGTTTCTGTGTATATCCAGATTTCCCTATTCGATACTCCTCGACTGTGTCATTGTAGCGCGTCCTTAGATCCGTCATCGGTTCCTATCGTTCGTTCACAATGGCGCGTGTCCGGCCGTCAAAAAGAGCAGCATGCGCGCTTCTTTCGAGGAGAACTGTTTGCAAATCTGACGCGAGCCACAAAGGGAGGACCGCTCCCATTCTTGTGCCTTCGCGAGAGTGCAGCTGCCCACACAGGGCAGGACCCGCCGATGATCGAGATAAGTCTAATTTCGTTTCGGCGGTCCCCGAAAATCCGCTCCAATTTTCTCTCCCGAATCCTCCCTTCCTTTTTTCCCGGAGACTTTCTCCTTCGAAGAGGTGCGAATCAAGACGTACGGAGCGGGATAAAAGACGGGATTCCAAGGAGAGCGTGCACGCTCCGTTTCTGGAGCGAGACTCCCAACTCGAGAGATTCATTGGATTTCTGCTACGAGAGAGAGAAGCTTGTTTGGGTCCCCGGGTTCTCGCGTAGCTGTTTTCGTTACCATTGTAAAGCGGTCAGACGGATTTCACGACAGGTTTTGGGAAAACTCGCAGCGGGTGGCGCTCTTTGAGGTCGGATCTGCGGATTTCTATCGT